TCACTAGACCAGCCATGCCCAATTCCTGCAATCGTTCTTCATATGTTTCAGCCTCCAGTCCCCTCATCATCCTGGTTGCTCTTCTCTGCACTTTTTCCTAGAATCTCAACATCTTTTTTTATAGTGTGGTGACCAACATTGGATGCAGAATTCTAGGTGTGGCCTTACTAGGGCTTTATAGAGTGGCATTAAAATACCCATAGGCAATTAATTTGAACTGGTTTGAATGGCTCCTTCCAGAAGTTGTGGGAGCTTCATCACTGGAGGTCTTTTAAGAAGAGACTGGACAGCCATTTGTGTGAAATGGTGTGGGGTCTCCTGCTCTGAGCAGGAGGTTGGACTAGAAGACCTCCAAGGTCCCTTCCAACCCTGTTATGCTGAATTGTTAGCTCTTCCATGGCATGGGGTGTGTGTGTGCCAGATCTCCCTCTCTGCCCACCTGCCCACCCCCTCTTGAACCCATTCCAGACGTCCCTCCAGCCAAAGTCTGGAACCACAACTCTCGACTCCCGAAAGTCTTCGGCAGCGCACACAGACCCTGTAATTGCATGAAAGACACAACACGAAATAATTAGGTGGGAAAAGATTTGGGGGGAAAAACACAATCAGGAAGACATGTTGCAATCTGCAACCTGCCCGGAATGAGATCATGTCTGTGCAAACCCTGGATGGGTTCAGTAATTCCTGTTTAGTGCCGTTTGCTTAGTCCAGGAACAAGATCCACACTATGAAAAAACATGCATTTTTTAAAATTTGTTTTGTTTTTTTTAAATTTGACTTATATGCCGCCCTTCTCCGGAGACTCAGGGCGGCTTACAATGCGTTAAGCAATAGCCTTCATCCTTTTGTATATTTTATACAAAGTCAGCTTATTGCCCCCACAAACTGGGTCCTCATTTCACCTACCTTAGAAAGGATGGAAGGCTGAGTCGACCTTGAGCCTGGTGGGATTCGAACTTACAGTAATTGCAGGCAGCTGGTGTTAATGACAATGCTTTTAGTCTGCTGAGCCACCAGGCCCCTTTTGATTTAGATCAAAAACAGTTGACCGAAGTTACATCAGCACTGAAAAAATTGACTTATATGACCGTTTTTTCACACTTACGACCATTGCGGTGTCCCCATGGTCACGTGATCAAAATCAGACTTGCTTGGCAACCGGTTCATCTTAATGACGGTCGCTGTGTCCCCGTTTGCGACCTTCTGACAACCAAAGTCAATGGGGGGGGGAGCCAGATTCACTTAACCATGGGACTACATGGTTAACAACTGCAGTGATTCACAACTGTGGCAGGAAAGGTTGTAAAATAGGTCATAAAATTCACTGAACAACTGTCTCGCTAAGCAACATTAAATTTTGGGCTCCATTGTGGTCGTAACTCAAGGACTGCCTGTATTTCATTGGGCTGCACAGCAAGCCTGCCCCCGTCTCCTTCATTTGTTCTGCATTCTGGCTCCAATCTACGTCGTTTATTGTTGTTGTTGTTATTCCAGTTCCCTAATTCAGCATCATTAGCCAATGTTGGCCTGTTTTTGAATTCAACCCTCGTAAAATCAGCATCTAATGATTCTTCTCTTTTCGTTGGTGCCGATCCGAATTCTCTTGGCTTTCGACAGTCCAAATTCTAAATGTTTGTAGTATTTATGTTTATGTTTTATTCATTCATTGAATTTTTATCCTTTTAAAATTGTTTATACATAACTCAGGGCGGCAAATATGCCTAATATTAAAACTTTCTTTTTCCAGCAAGCCGGGCTGGCCTAACACTTTTTAAATGTTTTAATTGGTTTGTTACTGTTTTTAATTATGGGGCCAAATTTATATATATATATCTTTTAATGGTATTTTAATATTTGTACTCTATGTTTTTATGTGGCTGTACACCGCCCTGAGTCCTTAGGGAGAAGGGCGGTATACAAATTCAAAAATAAATAAATAAATAAATAAATAAATAAATACTGTTTCCTCCTCCTTCCCCACCCCCCAAACAACAACCCTGCAAGGTGGATTGAGCTGAGAGAGAGGGACTGAGTCACCCGACTGGCTCTCATGCCTAAAGCGGGACTAGAACTCACCGTCTCCTGGTGATTGGGGTCCAAAGTCACCCAGCCGGTTTTCCTGCTTAAGGCGGGACTAGAACTCACCGTCTCCTGGTGACTGGCTCAAAATCACCCAACCGGCTTTCATGCCTAAGGCAGAACTACAACTCACTGTCTCCTAGTGATTGGCCCGCCTGTCTTTCATGCTAAGGTGAAACTAGAACTCAGCATCTCCTGGCGATTGGCCCAGACTCACCTGGCTGGCTTTGTTGGCCTAAGGCAGGACTCGAACTCACCGTCTCCTGGTGATTGGTTCAAAGTCAACCTGCCAGCTTTCAATGTGTGAAACAGAACTAGAACTCACCGTCTCCTGGTGATTGGCCCTAAAGACACCCAGCCAGCTTTCTTGCCTAAGGCGGAACTAGAGTTCACCGTTTCCTGATTCCTAGGCCAGCACCTTACAAACTGGACCGCTAGCCAAAAATGCAACGTATTGCAGCCTTAAGTGCAATTTGTATGTAAGAATTTGTACTGGGTCCACATCTTTCAATTGTTTTTTTTTTTTTCTTTGCAATCTCGACCTGCAAATCCCGGCGCCTTGTAGAGCCTTTGTCGATTTCTGGTCTTTACGTTAAGGCGTCTTTTGACGGCTTTGTCACAGGGGCCAATCAATCTGAACTTTAAATTCCCCGTACGGCTTTCGCTCTGTCGCTTCCAATGTCTTTATTGTGGATTTCACCAGCGCCCCCGCCTTCCAAACGGCTCCCTCCCTCCCTCCGCTGACCTTAACAAGCGAGTCTCGGGCCATCACCGTAGGCGGCCAATTTGGTCAGAGGAGAAGGCCTTGGTGGGGAGGGACTTCTGGTGGAAGCTGCCCCATAAATCCAGGGTGACGGGTCAGGGTGGCATCATATGGCCGGCCCATCCCTGTTACCCCTTCCAGGAGGGAGCAGAACCAGCTGATTTCCCACCCTTGCAAATTCACTTGCTAAAACCCTCAGCGGAGAGGCAGTTTGGTCTAGGAGAGGGGTCTCCAAACTAGGCGACTTTAGGACGTGTGGACTTCAATTCCAGGAATTCCTCAGCCACTCTGGCTGAGGAATTCTGGAAGATGAAGTCCACGCGTCTTAAAAGTTGCCAAGTTTGGAGACACCTGGTCTAAAAGTTAAGGCGCCAGGTTAGAAAACAGGGGACTCTGAGTTCAAATCCCACCCCCAAGCCAGGAAAGCCAGTTGGGTGACTTTGAGAAGAGAAGGAAGGAAGGAAGGAAGGAAGGAAGGAAGGAAGGAAGGAAGGAAGGAAAGAAAGAAAAAAAGGAAGGGAGGGAGGGAGGAAGGAAGGACGAAGGAAGGAAGGAAGGGCGGAGGAAAGAAGGAAGGAAGAGGAAGGGAGGAAAGAAGGAAAGAAAGAAAGAAAGAAAGAAAGAAAGAAAGAAAGAAAGAGGGAGGGAGGGAGGAAGGAAGGAAGGACGAAGGAAAGAAGGAAGGAAGAGGAAGGGAGGAAGGAAAGAAAGAAAGAAAGAAAGAAAGAAAGAAAGAGGGAGGAAGGAAGGAAGAAGGAAGGAAGGGGAAGGAAGGAGGAAGGAAAGAAAGAAAGAAAGAAAGAAAGAAAGAAAGAAAGAAAGAAAGAAAGAAAGAAAGAAAGAGGGAGGGAGGGAGGAAGAAAGGAAGGATGAAGGAAGGAAGGAGGAAGGAAAGAAGGAAGGAAGAGAAAGGGAGGAAGGAAGAGGAAGGGAGGAAGGAAAGAAAGAAAGAAAAAGGGAGGGAGGAAGAAAGGAAGGAAAGAAGGAAGGAATGGGAAGGAAGGCAGGAGGGAAGAAGGAAGGAAAGAAAGAAAGAAAGAAAGAGGAAGGGAGGGAGGGAGGGAGGAAGGAAGGAGGAAGGAAAGAAGGAAGGAAGAGGGAGGGAGGAAGGAAGGAAAGAAAGTTTGGTTATTTTCCTGCTACAAAGAATAAAAGAATAACAGATTTGGAAGGGACCTTGGAGGTCTTCTAGTCCAACCCTCTGCTCAAGCAGAAAACCTTATACCTGTGATGGCGACCCTATGGCACGCATGTCAGAGGTGGCACGCAGAGCCCACTCTGTGGGCACGTGCGCCGTCAACAGCTGCTCTTCTGGTTTCCGGTGCACACATGCGCACTGACTAGCTTTTCTCCACGGGCACCGTAGCGCCGGAAAATGGCCCAAAACCAGGCTGTTTTTCGGGCCATTTGTGGCCTGAAAAACAGCCCAAAAACAGCCTGAAAATGACCCAGAAAACAGGCATCTGCGCTCTGGCCAGCTGGTCTTGGTTTTCCGGTGCTCTGGCACACGCACCTGCACACACATGCACGCATGTTCCGGTTTGGGCACTTGGTGACGAAAAGATTGGCCATCACTGCCCTGGACCATTTCGGACAAACGGCAGTCCAATCGCGTCTTAAAACCCTCCAGTGTTGGAGCATTCACAACTTCTGGTGGCAAGCTGTTCCACTGGTGAATTGTCCTCACTGTCAGGAATTTTCTCCTTAGTTCTAGGTTGCTTCTCTCCTTGCTTAGTTTCCATCCGTTGCTTCTTCTCCTGCCTTTTGGTGCTCTGCTTCAAAGGAATAGAAGTTTTCCTGGGGGCTGGAGAATGGGGAGGGTCTTCCCTTCCTGCCCCCTTCCTTGGCAACACCCTCCCATCTCCAGGGCTGCACAGCCAGATTTGTGAGCAAAGTGGATTCCTTGTTTTTTGTGTGGGGGGGATCTCAGGCAGCCTCTCTCCTCCTTTGCTTCCCTCCTTGGCATCTCCAGCTAAGCTCCCTATTGACTGGAGGGAGGGAGGGGGGAGGGCAGTCAGGGCCCCTTTCAGGAAGGGAAGGAGAAAGAAGCAGGTGGGGAGGTGTGAGGAAGGGGTGGGAAGGGGTTTCTTGGCAGAAAGAAAGGCTGGCCAAGCAGGAGGCGGCCTGGACCGGAGTCACTTCGGGCAGGATGGGCTCCTTGCAAGACCCCAGCGCCAACTGCAAGCGTTACACCCTGGAGGCGTTTGCAGGCCCCCCCTCCCCACTCCTGCGGGCAAGGAAGCTGTTCTCAGGCTGTCTGGGCGCAGGGCAGGACCCGGGACACAAAGAGGGCTGCTGTTCTGCAGGGTTGGCATAGCTCTGGAGTCCTTTGCAGCCTGGGGACAGAGCGTGTGTGCGCGTGAGAGAGAGAGAGAGAAAGAAAAAAGAGAGTGCATGAGAGCAAACGAGAAACAAAGAGAAAGAGGGAGGGAGAAAGAGAGAAGAGAGAGAGAGAATGCATGAGAGCAAAAGAGCAAAAGAGCAAGTGTGTGTGTGAGAGAGAGACAGAGAGAGAGAAGAGAGAGAGAAAGTGCAGGAGAGCCAAAGAGCCAAAGAGAAAGAGAGACAGATAGAAAGTGTGTGTGTGAGAGAGAGAGGGAGAGAGGGGGAGAGAGAGAAAGAGAGAGAGTGAGAGAGAGAGGAGAGAGAATGTGTGAGAGAGTACATGGGAGCAAAAGAGCAAAAGAGAAAGAGAGATAGAAAGTGTGTGTGTGAGAGAGAAGAGAGAGAGAGGGAGAAAGAGAAAAGAGAGAGAGAATGCATGGGAGCAAAAGAGCAAAAGAGAAAGAGAGATAGAAAGTGTGTGTGTGTGTGAGAGAGAGAGAGAGGGAGAAAGAGAGAAAAGAGAGAGAGAATGCATGAGAGCAAAAGAGCAAAAGAGAAAGAAAGTGTGTGTGTGTGAGAGAGAGAGACAGAGGGAGGGAGGGAGAGAGAGAGAGTGAGAGAGAGAGAGGAGAGAGAATGTGTGAGAGGGTGCATGGGAGGAAAAGAGTGACAGAAAGTGTGTGAGTGTGTGAGAGAGAGAGAGAGAGAGGAGAAGGAGAGGAGAGGGAGGGAGGGAGTTTTTCCAGAGCGGGCAGCCTCTTCCCCCCACCCCTTTCCTCCATTCCCCTCCCACCCCTCCTCTACCCCCCGCCGGAGAGCCCTTCTCTCTTCGCGAGGCCGGGCCGAGAGAGGCGGCAGCGCTGGGTCGGGGGGCGTCCTCGGTTGCAGGCAGGCCCGTCGCCCGGGGCCAAGCACACCTGGATCCCATCCGGGGCGCCCCCCCCCCGCCCAAAGAGCGGAGCCTCCGCTCCAGAATGCCTGAGCGGGATCCCGATGGGGGAGCCGGGCAGCGCAGCCAGAGGAAAGCGGCCGTCCAGTGATCCCCGGGGAAGGAAGGCAGTTGGGGTCCGGGGGGGGCCCTCCAGCGCCCCCTCCGCAGGAGCCATGGTAATGAGAACGCCTTTGTTCCTCTTTTTGCAGCCGGCGCCCCTCTTCTGCCCGGAGACCCCCCCTCCCAAAGACGAGCCTCGGGGGGCCCCCACCTCCAGCCACTGCTTTGCAAACCAACCCCCCCCCCGAAACCCCACTTCCCCGGCCACTTTAGCGCAACCCTCCGTCGGATGCAAAACACTTTTGCAAGACAGCAAAACTTTGCGCGAGTTCAGCTCCGCTCCGGCTTTGTCCTTTGCAGGCGGCAGGTCCCCCCCCCCCAAAAAAGCGGGGAACCCCCCTTAAACACGAGAAACCCCCCCCCCCTCCGTGTTTACCCGAGCTTCGTGCCCTCCTCCTCCAGGGCAGGGAGAGTCCGGGGGTGGGACGGCGCCAGGTAGGGAGGTAGGTGCTTATCGCGGGCGGAGGAGTTTGCCGAAGTTTCCACGAAGTGCGGGCGAAGGGAGGGCAACGCGGCTGGCAGCGAGGCGGAAGGAAACGGGGAGGAGGTGCTTTTAGGTAGGATGTGGGGCCAGGTGCGCCCCGAGGACGGTGGGAGGGCAGAGCTCGGGTCTCCTCAAGGGGCAGGGGGGCAGGGAAGGACCACCCGGTGCCCCTGGCTGAGCGCCAAGCAAGTCTACCGGCTGGGCTCCGCGGTGACTCAACCCACCCTGATTTTTCTGCCTTTGATCTTCTCCTAGCCGGTGCCAATGCGACGTTTGGCACCAAGTGGGTACGAGAGAGAAAGGGCGCCTTTCTAAAGAGAGGGGAAACCGGCTGCAGGGTTAACTGGGTTTGCATCAGACGGAGACTGGGGGCCTTGGGGGTAAACTGGGTGTCGCTTGGGCTTCCCTAGGAAAGGGCCTGGCCAAGGCAGGAAATGTTGGCCGCTGTAGGTGTCTCAAAATCGGGGCGGTTGTAGGACCCTCGAAATCTTGGTGATTGTTTGGTGTCTCAAAATTGTGATGGTTGTTGGTTGGTTAGCCTGCCCCACGTTGAAATCTTGGCAATTGTAGGTATCTCAAAATCGTGGCAGTCGTAAAAGCCTCGAAATCTGGATGGTTGTAGGTTGTCTGAGCTTAGGGGTTGAGCAAAACAACCCACGGTTTCTTCTTCTTCTTCTTCCTCTTCCTCTTCCTCTTCCTCTTCCTCTTCTCCTCCTCTTCTTCTTCTTCTTCTTCTTCTTCTTCTTCTTCTTCTTCTTCTTCCTTTCCTTGGCTCTGCAGGGAGAAGTTTCTTTCTCATGCAAAAAAAAAAAAAAATCCCCCTGCTCGTCTTCAGCAGCAGGAACAAAAGTTTGGCACAGGGCGGTCGAGATTATTAGCAGCTGTTTGGAAAGGCAGCTTGTGGGCTTGGAAATCTTTGTGGCTTGGAAAGAAAGATGTGTAGGGAGTTTGGTCCAGAAGGAAAGGGAAAGAGAGAAGAGAAGAAGCAACGGAGGGAAACTCATCAAGGAGAGAAGCAACCTGGAACTAAGGAGAAAATTCCCGACTGTGGGAACAATTACCGTAACCAGTGGAACTGCTTGCCACCAGAAGTTGTGGGTGCTCCAACACTGGAGGTTTTTAAGAAGAGGCTGGACAGCCACTTGTTCTGAAATGGAACAGGGAATCCTCGACCTACGACCACAATGGAGCCCAAAATTTCTGTTGTTAAGCGAGACATTTATTAAGTGAGTTTGGACCCCTTTTATGACTGTTCTCACCACAGTTGTTAAGTGGCTCAGGCTTCCCCATTGAATTGTGTGTTAGAAGGTCGCAAAAGGGGATCATGTGACCCCCCCCCCCCCGGGACGCTGCAACCATCATAAATACGAGTCAGTTGCCAAACGGCTGAATCTTGATCACGTCAACACGTGGAAGCTGCAATGGTCATATGTGCGGGGAAAAATGGTCCTAAGTCACTGTTTCCGGTGCCGTCGTAACTTCGAATGCTCACTAAACAGAGGGTTGTAATTCAAGGACTCACCTGGATGGGGTCTCCTGTCTAGTGGGTTGGACTAGAGCAGTGTTTCTCAACCTTGGAAGCTTGAAGATGGGTGGACTTCAACTCCCAGAATCCCCCAGCCAGCAACGCTGGCTGGGGGATTCTGGGAGTTGAAGTCCCCCCATCTTCAAGCTACCAAGGTTGAGAAACACTGTGTTAATCTCTGCTCTTGTGGGTATTTTATTTCTGGCCAAGAAGTGCAGTGATCTTTTAGCTTTTTGATTCTCTCTTTTGAATGGTGTGTAAATGTGGTCCATCTCTATGTGCCCGTTGATGGCTGTTTTGTCTGAGTGCCGCTGGCTGGGGGATTCTGGGAGTTGAAGTCCACCCATCTTCAAGCTACCAAGGTTGAGAAACACTGGACTAGAAGACGTCCAAGGTCCCTCCAACTCTTGTCATTCTATATAGATTCATGCGTGCATTTCCATTGCAGTTTCAAACGGGCAAAAGAAATCTGTCCGGCTTAGGAGGGGGCACTTTCCCAACCAGCCAGAAAATCTCAGGGACTGAAATTTTTCATCCCTTCCTTGGAGCACAGCCTTCCACACAGATCCAGGAATCCCCCCACACACACCCTCCGAGGTTGGCGGTGACCACATTTCCAAAGCTAGAGGAGAGTTCATGAGGGTGGGAACTTGACTGCTTGTTTATACCCGTTCCCAGACAGTTTCATTCCCCACTGGCTCTCTGGGGCTGTTTTCTCCTCCATAATTCATTGTTCCTTCTCCTTCTTGGCTCCTTGTTCGGATTCCTGCCAAAATCGTTGCATCTGGGAAGAGTTCCTGTTTTGCGGGGAACGTGGGGGGTGGTCCCGGCCGGAGGGGCTTGTCTTCTTCCAGTGTCTTTCATGTCAGCGGAAGAGATGAGTAGGAGGCAGGCGGGCGAGAAGGACCGGGGGGGGGTGTGTAGCAACAGGCTGCCTTTTCCCGGGGTGGGGGGCCCTCCGTCTTCCCACCTCGGAGGTGGGGGGGCTGCTGAGTTGCTTGCACTGCTGGAGGTGACCCGTAGGGGCAAGGGTCTTTTCATTAAAAAGAAGGGGAGGGAGGAAGGGAGGGAGGGGAAATTAGAAGAGTCAGCAGTTTCCCTCTTAAGCTTGGAGGGACAGTGGCCGGAAAATTTGGGTTTCAAAGTGCTTTTCTGCAAGGGGAGGGCAGAAGCACAGCCCTTGGGGTGGGGGTGGGGGTTAGGGAGATGGGGTCTTGATTTTGCTCCGTCTGTTTTTTTGGGGGGTATTGGCAGGGTGCTACCAGGGATGCAAGGGAGGGGCTGTCCAGCATTTATTTGATTAATTAAATTTATTTGATTTTTATCTGATGTTGTTTATTATATAGAAGTAACTCAAGGAGGCGAAGATACCTAAAACTCCTTCCTCCTTTTTTCCCACCACAACGACTCTGTGAGGTAGGCCGACAGAGAGGGACTGGCCCAAAGTCACCCAGCCGGCTTTCGTGCCTAAGGAGGGACTAGAACTCCCCGTCTCCTGGTGATTGGCCCAAAGTCACCCAGCTGACTTTCCTGCCTAAGGCGGGACTAGAACTCCCGGTCTCCTGGTGATTGGCCTAAAGTCACCCAGCTGGCTTTTGTGCTTAAGGCGGGACTAGAACTCTCCATCCCTGGTGATTGGCTCAAAATCACCCAGCTGACTTTTGTGTTTAAGGTAGGACTAGAACTCTCCATCTCCTGGTGATTGACTCAAAATCACCCAGCTAACTTTTGTGTTTAAGGTAGGACTAGAACTCTCCATCTCCTGGTGATTGACTCAAAATCACCCAGCTGACTTTTGTGTTTAAGGTAGGACTAGAACTCTCCATCTCCTGGTGATTGACTCAAAATCACCCAGCTGACTTTTGTGTTTAAGGTAGGACTAGAACTCTCCATCTCCTGGTGATTGACTCAAAATCACCCAGCTGACTTTTGTGTTTAAGGTAGGACTAGAACTCTCCCATCTCCTGGTGATTGGCTCAAAATCACCCAGCTGACTTTCATGCCCAAGACGGGACTAGAACTCCCTATCTCCTGGTGATTAGCCCAAAGCTACCCGACCAGCTTTCATGCCTAAAGCTGGACTAGAACTCACAACGCCTAGTTTCTATGATGCTTTCATTGCTAGACCAAACAGTCCTTGCCAATCTATTTTCTTCTCCAACAAAAGCGAAGAAACAAACCTTGGAAGAAAAGAGAGATTTCCCCACTCAGTGACTTTGGGGTGAGTTAGACTAGACGTCCCTTTTAATGATACCAGACATTCTGTCTCCCCTCCCTAGAGATTCCTGGGCCATGGGGGGTGGGGAAGGGGCCTCTTCTTGGCAGTTGGGTTCAACAAACCTGAAGATCAAGGTCAGATTGAAGGCTACGGGCACCATGCCAGGTGGAGTCTGTTGCCCCGACCCAGAATCTCTTTCACTTTTAACCTCGTTTCTCACTCCAGTTCCTCGGCTTTTCTCAATTCCTCCCGTTTGTCTTCCATAATCGATGCTGGGAAAAATTTGGGAGTTTCCCCCTCCTCCTCCTCCTCCCCCTCCTCCCCACTTGGCAGATGATTTTAATTTGGGGTATGTGTAAACAACTCCTCCAAAAGCTCTAAGCCTCTACAAAAGGTTTTAAAAATAGCTTCCCATGTTAGCCTGGGAGTATCTGCCCAGGATTAAAAGTCACAAGGCTGGAATCGATCGCAGCCTCCGCTTTGTTGGGGCCCCCGGGGGCGACACCAGGCTGGCACCTGCTGGTTGGTGGTGGGGGAGTCTGTCCTCTATGCCCACCCGCCTTTTGCGGGGCCCTGGAATGCCCCTTGCCAGGCTCCCCCCACCCCCCGGGCCAAGGAGAGCTAAATTCAGACTGTGACCTTCTGCAACCAGAGTAGCATCTGCTTATAAGTCAAGGTTGGCACCAGCCAGACAAAAGTCCTTCGTTTCTTGCCTTGCCAGGCTCAAAATCCACTTCAGTGCAGGACCCGGTGGCATCCAAAGCGTTTTTTTCACCTGAGAGAGAGGTAGCTTGCCTTCTAGGGCACTGATGATGATGTTCCCCAGTTG